TCTCTCTCTCTCTCTCTCTCTCTCTCTCTCTCTCTCTCTCTCTCTCTGTTACGGCTGTCGTATGTCTGTCCATTCGCTGCACAACGTTGTCGCTATTACGTTATTCCGATGGTATATCTCTCTACTACCAAATCTCAAATATTTGCCAGCAATATGTTATATGTTGTTGCGATTTTTGTTTCTTTCATATGTATGTGTGTTTGTGGTCAAACTATATAGTTTCTTATATTAATTCTATGGAACAGAATGAAAATGATTCGAAGGAATGGATTAGGAATTGTAGAGTATTACAATAATAATTTTTAACCTTTTATGTTTTTAACTTCAACAATTTGTATATTACAATAAGTCAAGTATTTTATTTTTTATAGAATTTCTTGAGTCAAGATCAAGATTTTATCAGTTGGGTCGCCACTATTTTTCGTCCCAAGCCACAAATTTTAGCGTAAAATCATCATTATCAGGCACAATGTTACGGTCGATCTTGGGCCGGATTTGTGTGTAGTTTCAGTCATATCCAACGTCAGCAAAGGAATGAAACAAAATAGAGAAAAAACCATTCAATTAGATTGATATGAAAAAAATTGAGTTGATTATAATATAATCAACATTGTAAGTACAATACCGAGTACAATTTATATCAAGGGGTACGCGAGCAAGGCCACAAAAATATTCACCTGCCGAATCAGCTTCGCTGCTGCAATATCAGCATGCCATACAGATGTGCTCCGGCAGCACACTATCTACATTCGGTCAATCTCGAAGAGTTGCAGCGATAACATCGCTAATTTCTCGCATCTCGCGCCACATCCAATTGCACGGATATGGACCGTCGCTTTTGCAGTAATCGTTTACTCACTTAGGTGTATACAATGAGTGGTGGTACTCCAAAAATTGTATTTGGTACACAACCCACATATTTCTTGTATCGATTGCGTCGAGTTTCTTGCGGAAATCATGTGAAACACATTGATGTCATGTATTCATCGACCATTTGTATGATACAATTGCCACTTTTCATGATGACTACAATCAGTTTGCGAGTGCCTGGAAATCGCACATATTTTTTTATCTTAATTTTTCATTCCGTTATGAAATTCAAAGAACCTTATGTTGTTACTCTCAACGCACTTCTTCCAATAATCAATGCGACATTGAAAACAAATTCACTACTTCTCTTACTTGAATGCATTTCGAGACATCTATGAGTCTCATCTTCAGCATCACAACTTAAACGTTGGTATCAGGATTGGCTAGTACACGGCTCTTTACAAAACACACATAAGAGTTAACGGTGATAAAAACAAAAACACGTGGTAACAACAACAATAATTGTACATCAAATGAGAGAGAAGATACACGATTCGATATTGCCTCTGTCTTTGTTCACTGAATTATCGTCTTTTTGTATGAAATATGCTTCGTATGCATCAAGCTAACTCTCTTTGTTTTCTTGTTTAACTAAACGCACACTATCGATGGTGATACCGTCCTGTTCATCAATAAGTGCATGAGATGCTATCGCCGATTTAAACGGTGGGTTCAATATAACACATTGGCAATTTTTATTAAATTAAAATTAAAACTTAGCATTGTATCGGGTCTGATTCACATTATGCTGTGGAATGAGTAAACTACACATATAATCTGTCTACTATTTAATACGAGAATCACCAACAAAGCGATACATATTTTTTATGTTAAAATGGATAAAAAAAACGTTACAAATTCGTTTGCTTACACACGTGTGTATATGAAATTAAATGTTCAGCCTTTTTATTCGTTATTATTTTTATGACTTCATTTCGTCAAGATCGCAATGTATCAAATTTCGTTTATATTATCCAGATCATAGCAAATAAACAAAGAATAAAGTTTTAGGATATTTGAAATCAAAGAAAAATTCTTTAGCATCTATTACTTCACTTTTTTAAAATAGACAAAGATAACTCATATCTATGCAGAACCAAACAATTCTAGAACAAAACCAACAAATTTTGTGTTATTTTGATTTTGCCAGGGGAACGTCCTTTCCAGTGCGGGCAGTGTCTGAAGACATTTACACAGAAGTGCGCTCTAACATTGCACACACGAATTCATACGGGTGTGTAGTTCGTTGGTGTATTATATTCTATTAATTTTCTTTGCATTGAAAACTGAACAAAAAAACAAAAAATCTTTGCTATCATTGTTCATTCCCAAACACATACACACATATTTACCATTATTCATTTCAAAGTCGCCTTTTTTGAGTTAATATCTTCTTTTTTTTTCATTATTTTAATAAATAAGACAAATAACTCATTGAGTATTTTTTTGAAATACAAACACTTTTCTGTTGCTTGTATTCATTCATTTGCTTAATTTCATTCATCAATTATGAGAATTTCACAATCAACCACAAACATTCAATATCATACATAGTTTGTCGTGTTTAAAAGTGTCTTTTGATGTAAGTCATGAAATATCACTGTACAGTTTCACAGAGTTATTGAAAGCTATACTAATATAGGAATTTCTCAAATCTTACCCTATTCATGTCAATACGTCTTGGGAAATTTTTTCTTTTAGTAATGGGAGATGTTTACAATTAGTTTGTTTTAATTATCATAATAATCATTTTTCATGTGACTATACAGGGTGGCCCAGAATAACTGTCACTTTAATATGTGCTTAAAAATCGTATTGTTTTTTACTAAAATTGAACGAAAACTTTATTGGGATTTAGAATAGGTTCCAAAATTTTAAATTCATGTTTTGGTTTTGATTCTTCCTCCGTTTGCACGGACCACCGAACGCAAACATCGTAAAAATGATTTACACGCGGACCGCACCATTTCGATGGGAATATCATTCCAAATCTTGACGATTTTCTTTTTAAATGCATCCAATTTTGTGATCTTCTTAATCTTCAGATCATTAAGCTTTGATTGCCCCACACAAAATAATCGAATGGATTTGGGTCTGGAGACGATGGCGGCCATTCGTCTTTGGTAATAAAACAATAATAATAATAATAACTGCACCGAACAGCGTTCCTTCGCCTTGGTGGTTTATTGAAAATATTTTGATTAAATAAATATAATATAATATAATTTTTATCAAGCATTTTTGAAAGTGTAACTGAAAAATTATTGCTTATGTAAATAATATAATTTTCATAAATTAATTTTGCAACTGCTAATCCATAACAAACATTTTGTATTTATCTGTTTTGCTTTAAATAATTTTCTATTCTTTGTTTAACTGTTGATAAATTTACTTCTAAATCAATTAAAATTTTATCACTGTTTTGCAATTTTTTGGCATAATAATCGTTGAATGATGTAAGCATATAATTTATTGGTTCATATTTTGTGTAATCAGTTCTCCTAATTTTATCAATTACCATCAGGCACATTTTCCCTTAACCACTGTTGCACTTTGTTTGCTCGATGTGCCGGTGCCCCATCTTGTTGAAACACCCACGGTTCATCACCAAACACAGTTTCAGCATGTGGCAACAAGATGTTGCGCAATATTTCTTCTTTATAAAAAGTTGCATTAATTTTAACGCCCTTTTCAATGACAACAAGAGGAAATTTGTGGCCTGCCGAAACGGCGAACCAAACCATGACACTTGATACATTTTGAAATCGTTCAACAGCTAAATCATCTTCAGGAATGTCTTCAATTGACGCTGCATACACACAGTAAGAAAATATCAGCAGATGCTATACGCAAAACCGACTGGTACGTGCGCTCATACGTTTTTAAATCTTTTACATCTAGTGACCATACGATTTTTCGACTGATTCGTTACTCTTTGTGCGTATCTTCGCACAGTCGAATAATCGTATGGTAATGGATGTAAAAGATGTAAAAACGTATGAGCGCACGTACCAGTCGGTTTTGCGTATAGCGTCGGCTGATATTTTCTTTCTGTGCACGCGATCATTTTGCGCATTGAGACTTGACTGCGAAAGGAACAACTTTTCGTCTGAAAACACAATGTTTGAAGTTGCGGCCCGGCGTAGCAGTTCTTTGCATTTCTGCTTTCTGTCTTGCTTATTTTTGATTGTCAAACCGTGTTTTCGGTTTTTTTTTAAATGGTTTCACTCCCAAATCTTCTTTCAACACTCTTTGCATTGAAGATCGACTGATATTGTGCTCACGAGCCAAGATTCTGGCGCTTCTTCTGTTATTTCGACGAATTTTCTTTCGTATCTTTTGGACCAGATCTTTTGTACGTACAGATTTTTTTCTACCCGGTTTTCGCTTCACATCGACTGTTCCACGTTCCTTGTATCGTTTTATGGTGCGATGAATAAATCTCAAATTGATATTGTCGTTCTGAAGCCGCCGAAAAATATCAGCTTGTCGCAAACCTTTTTTATGTAAATTCAAAACTAGTTGACGTTTCACATCCATTGCTATTATAAAGTAAACAAGAACTGCGCAATACTGTGCATCGTCACGGTGGATTGCCAAAACATGAATAAACATAACGGTGAACCAAAGGGTGATTGGAAAGCATTGTAGTTGAAATTACGTAGGTGCAAAAAAAATGACAGTTATTCTGGGCCACCCTGTAAAGCCCAAAATACTCAAATACAAGGAAAAAAGGATTTTTTTTGTACATCTAAACTAGGGTGAATCTTGCATCTATCTCTAAATAAAAAAATGGATATCTTGGTTTAAAAGAGCGAATAATTGTGTGTCATTTTAATGTATTTACATTGCATAGTGATTGACATTCAGACTTTTCGAAGCAAAATCGGAAGTAAATTCAATCAAATAAAAAACGTCCGAAGAGGTGAAGAGCGACTGACGAACATAGGTTCTGACAATAGTAAATTTAGGAGGGGGTCACGGCCGAAAATCGGCGCTCTGAAAAACCCAAAAACCCTAGCAAAATGTAATATTTTTGAAAATCTCTAGCAAAATTGAATACATTTTTCTCTGTATAGTATGTCTTTGATGGGGTGAGGCATTTTTCGAGAGCTCAGCAAAATGGAATAATTTTATTCCTTGTGAAAAACCCTAGGGAAATCGAGTATTTTCTCAAAACCAAAATGTGAAACAAAAAATTTCTGATATTAATTTTGTGACGAAAATAAATGTTAGATAATTTTTGTGTACTGTAAATAAAAACTTGATATACTTTGAACATTCTAAACATTGCAGAAATTCCTCGCTTTTTACTGTCAGTATGGACTGATGTCGCAATGCAACGTTCCGAATATACAAATGTCATTTGAACCGCCTAGAATAAATCAGCATTACTAGATAAATGTCTTCAAATGCGTTATATACGCAACTACCACCGTGCGGAAAAGTTCGTCTTACTCCTGTAAGACTATTTATTTTTAAATTTTTTTTGTAATCATTTTCCGATTACCTGTACACCTAATGTACTTCTTCAACTGGAGAGTTCTGAAAACATAATAATAACGATAATGCTAATATGGCGACAATACACAAACATATTGTGTGCGATCGAGTTTATTAATGTTCGAGAAGTCTGATTATAAATCGCTATGCAATGTGAATACAATTGAATGACACAGAACTTATTGATGTTCTAATTGGTGATACTTATTTTTTTATTTACAAATGCGAGAAACTTACTAGCCTAAAATGTTTGTAAAATGCAACCATCACAAAAATGAGTGGAATTGCGGAGGATTAATGGAACCCAGAAGCTATGGAGGGATTTTTCAATTTTGTTTATTAAGAAAATGGCAAACCAGTAAAGGCCTTCTCACCAAATAAAGGTCACGTGAAACAGTCTGATTAAACTTGAAATGCTTGCATTATGCGTTTTAATTGATCATTGTCACCAACAAAAGAATTCAATTAATTCAATAATTGTTACGAAGTAGAAAAAAGGAAGAGTAATACATTCGACGCATTGGCAAATTTTCGACATTTTTTATTTAAAAAACTCATTGATTCGTGCATTTGCTCATTCATGTGGATTCTATATCGTTTATATTCATTTTTATTTTGTGTAATATTTTTTGTTCAAATTCATGATTAAAGATTAACAACAACAAACAAAACCAACAAAAAGGAAAACAATAAATGTATCAGGATATTGTGTTTGCAAATTGGTTCACATCATACGCTTATCTGATTCTATTGCTCGTCATTGTTTTAAATGTGTTCGAACTGGTACAGAATTTTCTACCACATTCGATATAAATTCTTTCTGTTTTGTAGGTTATTGGAGCATGCATAAGCCGTTCCAGTGTACCCAATGCAATGCTGCATTCTGCCGTAAACCATATCTTGACATTCATATGGTAAATTTTCATTAATCCATTTACGATCTCCAACAAATATTGATTTTATCTAAAAAAAATTAACTAAGCTATGGAATATTATAAAACAGAATTCTTTATAAAAAAAACTTGATTGAGATTTTAATCAATTTTGCGGCAATTCATTTTTTACGTTCAATTGAATATCACTTCAAACTTTTTTTATTTGAATACATTGTAGCGAATACACACTGGTGAACGTCCTTTCCAATGCGAGGTATGCTTGAAACGTTTCACACAGAAATCAACGCTCAATATCCATAAGCGAATTCACACTGGTTAGTTAACACATTTGAACGTATTATGTTGAATAATATTAACGAGTAATTTGCATGTTGTCTCCATTTTTATGTATCCTTTTTGATTTTTTGTAACCACATTCATATATTTATTTAAGTTTTGCTTTAAAAAAATATTTTAAATTCGAAAAGTGTATCTTTTGGCTTCATTAAGTAATATACCAAATGGTTAAACAAATTTAGTTCAACCACATTTGAGGTACATGGGCAAGACCACAAAATCAGGGCTAGCGATATTATAATTATTAAAATCAAAAATCAAAACTAAAACTTAGAAGCTGCTGCATTTGGCTTGGCTTCAACCTGAATCTTGATTCAAATTCACCATCTATTGCATTTGTTGGGGCCGGCCTCTAGCTAGTATTTCCACTTTTCAAATATGAAAAATGTCTCAATAGGAAAATGCGGTACTCAATTTTATAAAAATTTCCAAGGATCTCGAGGTGATGACCAATTGATCAACGTAGAAAACTCTCTATAAGAGATATCAACCAAATTTTTTGTGGAAATACTGTTGACAGTTCATACTTCAATTATAGTACAAGAATGATTTGAAAACACTTCTCTTTATATTCTAGGCTTAAAAAATTTTCCTCCCCCTGTATTGGATTAGATCGGGGAGTGTACTAGGTCTGCTATCCAGTAATATCCGTAGTTCATCGTTGCTCAGGTCTTTTAATATATTGCAATACGCCCGATTGATGCCAAACTCCAGATGGCACTGAATTCTCTTTTCAATAGAGACTGTACTACCACCACTGATTTACCGGTATATTCACGAGTAGTTCAATACTACCCTTTTACGGTAGATGTCATGGATATCGCATATCCAAGACACCAATCTAACGCGAAGGCACTCTATTTTACGTGTGTCTGTGCTGAACCCACATTTTCGTTGTGCACACACACGGGACCGACGGCTTTAAGTGCCCTCCGAAGCACTCCACAAGTATCAGACTTCTTTTAAACTTCTCCTCATTAAACCACCAATGATTCCTGGGCGAATCAAAGTGGAAAAATACCGGCCGAAATTTGACCAAGAATCGAACTCGTATCCTCACGCTTACAAACCTGGAACGCTAACCACTAGTCTATGGCTGAGTGAAATGTATACACAGAAAGAAAAAATGTGGTATTTTTAATTCAATTTTGGTAGATTTAATATATAATCAACCAACAACGAATTAAATTTACCATTTTTGACATCTCTGAGGCATATTTTTCAAAAGTCAATATTTGTTGAATAAGTTTTACCAACTTTTCGAAACCACAGATGACGCTAGCTCATGAATTTGGTGAATGTAATGAAGCAATTGGTAAAACTTATTCAACTGATAGTCACTTTTGCAAAATATACCTCAGAGATGTCAAAAATGGCAAATTTAATTCGTTGTTTGTTGATTTTATATTAAATCTACCAAAATTGAATTAAAAATACCACATTTTTTCTCTCTGTGTAATATATTTTGATCTTCATTTATATAATCGAAATGAATGGTTGAGAATAATAATGAAACTTAATTTTTGTTCAAACTGAAGTGTCCCTTCGAAATATTTCCAATAAAAGTGTCCCAAGTTTGTATATAGTTTGCCATATAAACTTGGGACATTAAGACTGCCATTCAACCAAATTTTCCTTCAGTTCAAATTCGCTACAATTTTCACCACTTTAACGAAATGTAAATATTTGGTATCAATCGCATTGTTCATATTTAGTCAATCCACAACTTTTAGATGCATTTAACATGACTTTTTAGCAAAAATGAGTGAAATAATTCAACTTGAAATTTTTTGGTGAATTTGGAGTTTTACTTCAGAAAGTTTTAATCGACAGATCTTGTTAATCTCAATGCAACATAACGTTCAGATGCATTTGTGATTAGATTAAAGAGGAAAAAATTAAATTTTCGCAAATGCTGTATTTTTCTCGAATTACTAAAACTTCAAAAACAAAAAATTCTCTAGCAAATCAGACAAATTTTCGTTTTT